TAGTCGAATTCGAATTAGGAAGCAACTCACCATTCTTATTTTGTTTGAACAAAATTTTTTTACACCTGAAAATTTCTCTTTGGAACTAGATCATGATAGAAAAAAGTTCGCTCGTCATAAAACGTAATTAGAAAAATTAAAAACAAATACAATAAATGGTGTCTACAGATGTGTGGGACGATTTTTTTTCGCTGTATTCTCGTTATACAGAAATCTGCTGCAAAATCTAGTAAACTTAAGTCTAAAATGGTCCCTCGATTCTTTTACTCAAACACAGGAATGTACCCGACCTAGATTCTTTAGTTCCAGTCTCGATTACTTCCTTGTGAACGGTGTCAATCTTAGTCAAAGTCAATCTAGACTTCTAAATGAAGATGATCAGCGGCATCTAACCTTTGCTGATTTCCGGAGCGTTGCCAGTCGAGTTTTATTGTTTTGACGATTTGAACTAGCTCAATGATAGAAAAAAAATACGCAATACTATTCGAATAATAGAGAAACAGCACGCCATCATTTTGTTATGGCTATTATGGGATATATACACGACATTTTGTTTTCAGAGACTGCAAAAACACATGTAAAAGAAGGAAAAACAAGCGACTTAAGAATCGACAGAGAAGGTCTAACAATTTCATGGTTTGTTTGATAGACGAACAGAAAAAAATCAAATTAAGTAAAATCCAAAATCCACGTAACATTCAACAACTTCAAATGAGTGTACGAAGACGACTAATCTATCTGTTAGTAGATACTGTGTGTCATCTCACCAATAACTTACGAAAGTTCCGAGTAATCAAGATTTAGCTTGTTCATAGATAAAATTACGAATGAATGTTATTGACATCTATTCTTAAAATATCGTAAGCAAAATTTTTTGATTTTTCTATTGTATATTGAATCTAAATGAGCGAAATACAACTGACAAAACAAGACCAGAAACTGTTCAATGGCTTTTGCATCGTAAAGATATAATTTATGTCAATTCTTATGAGTTATATATAACCTTAAAAAGAGCTCAAGCAGTTAGCTTATTACTAACGAGATCATGCAACTTTACCTAGGCTCTAAATTTTGAATAGGCTCTGTTTTGTAGAAAATCGACTTTCAAAAGGCTATAGAATTTTGAAAGTTTTATTATTCTTTGTTCAAATTTCAAATTTTGTGTTTCACAGAAACTGAGTTTTATTTTCTGCACACAATCGTAAGCTGAATTTCAATGATTTTTTCAAGAAAATAGAAATGCATCACCGAATTCTTATAGGCATTTTCTATTTAGCAATATAGACAATCGTCTTAAGGAGAACAGTGTACGATAGAAATCTCAAGTCTGACTTTGAAAATAAGGTTTTCTGATATTCCTTGTGGACTTTACGATATTTTTTTTTAACTCAGAAAAGATTGGATAATGAAATTCAGCGCCTCGTTTATCGGATGGGTTCTTGGATAAATCACAAATTATTAGAATTGTATATGATTAAATACTCATTTTCTTAGTAATGCGACCATTATTTTAATTTTATTTCCACGAAACGTCAATTTCTACTTTTAGTGGTTTGATTAAGATTGAAGAAGAACTGTGTCATTTACATCCAACATACAAAATATTTTCAATACATGATGGTGATAAAGGCCGCCAATTAGCATTAGTCAAGAAGAAATTTTCGTGGAATGAAAAGTTTTCAGTTAATTCAGTCTATGGTGAATATAAATTAGAAGCATTGGATTTTCTTGGTCGTTCGTTTACATTGAAAAAAGAAGATCGTACAGTGGCAATTGCAAGCAGGAAATATTCGAGTTTGGTTGATACCTACGAAGCAGAAATTGATGGTAGTGAAGATCATCCATTCGTCTTAGCCCTGATAATTATAATTAATCAAGCACTGCACCAAAGCAGTTTTGGAGCCACTGGAACTGCTTACGTTCCTACATATAGCTAACAGTGAAACTTATGAAACATGATTTCTTTGATTTGACTGTTTTATTTTATAAATTGAATATAAATCTATCATGATGAACTTAAGTAGAGCTGACCGGCAGACGATTGACATAAGCGTAGATTGAGAGGCTAGTCAAGAAACTGAAACATATTTAGACTAATCCGTCTGTTTGCTCGTTTTGCAGCATATTGGACTATTTATGTTTTTTCGACCATCTTTATCAATTCTTAAAGACAGACAAACATAGATGGATTTCTATTTCTAGATCTTACTCTAAAAAATATAGTACCATACGGAATCATTTTTTCAACTTTCATGCTTTCGAAAAAATCCAAGATACATGCGAAATGATTGTCAAAGCTCCACGAATACTTTTAAGAGAGGGTGTGGGTGCGTGGGTGTGGGGTAGACTTCTGCTAAATGGTCACGGTCACGGTCACGGCCTCTCGTGACCGTGACCGTGACTAGTTTTCGAAAAATTGTCGTGACTGGGATCGTGACCGTGACCAAATAGCTCATGATCGTGACTTAATGGTGAAAAATTTTGAGATTAGAAATCTAATTTTTGTGAAAAGAAATCAAAATTTTAATTGATTTACGTGTTTTCTGCGTTTTTTACAGAGAAAATCTGTGAAATCAATATAAATCTTGATTTTGTAGCACAAAAATCCAGCTAGTAATCCAAAATCTCCGTGACCGTGACTAGTTTCGAAAAATTTCCGTGACTATGACCGTGCTCGTGACCAGGTAGCTCGTGACCGTGACGTGATCGTGACTAGTTTCAAAAAAACTCCGTGACTATGAACGTGACCGTGACGTGACGTGACTGAAAAATCGTGGTCACGCAGAAGTCTAGTGTGGGGTGTTGGGTGTGAGGCGTGGCTGTGGCTGTGGGTGTGGATGTGGCCCTGGGTCTAAGCCATCTATTCATCTAAATCTACACGCACACCTACATTCACACCCATTCACACCCACTCTCAAATGCATCTTACAGTCATGGATGTACTTCACCCAATCTAACTGGAGAACGATGCATGTTTGTAGTACGTGTATTAGTCGGAAAAACAATCAGAGGTAGCGGATCGATGAAAACTCAACCTCTTCAATTTGATTCACCTGCAGATGAAAGCCATATTTTCGTCACTTATCAAGATGCTCAAGGATACGTTGAATATTTAATTGCCTATTAAATAGAATGAAATCATTATTTTCTTTTATTTTCCAAACTATATATTTTTTATGTATTTCAGAGAATAGGAAATAATTAATAATCATAATTAATTGTTTTTATTTGAGAATTTTTCTTAATAAATTGTTACGAAATGATTCTTGCGTCACGTTAATCAATTCTTTCATAACTATTATTGAGGTTTGTAAACTTCTGTTCACTTTTGCTTTTGCCTCTCTGTAATGGTTTATAAATATATATATAGCAATCATTATCAGCCAGTTAGTATCTCTGCGTGAAACCACCAACTCGATCTCTACCATCATCGAGCACATTTTCTTCATTTTCTGCGCCATATGTATACCTGTTTTTTTTTATTGATCAAAGGTAAGAAAATTTTGAGTCTTCAAACTAAAGATCCTTTTCTCAACAAGTGTTAAAAGTGATTAGTAGAACAGCTACTTTCGAGAATCAATCTTTGAAACAAGTGTGTTTCATATGCCACCAATTGGCATGAGTTTCTATCATCAGAAGAACATAAAGACGTCTTTTTTTCTGTGTCAAATACAAACGAGTAATATTTCCATCATTTCAATACTTTTCGTTCTCTTTCATGGAGAATTGTGTTATCAAACAAAAACACCGTATCACATTACACCTGATCAACAGGTCTTTTGTTCTATAATATTTTTCTTTCCTTAAGAACAAACAATATTTAAGAAAAAAAACACCTAAAATATGAACAATATCTGCACATCGATGCTGATACACATTGTCATAAACTACCAAATTCATCATGATCATCAGCGATGAATGTTTCTCATGTGCACGATTTACCATTAGATTTAACATCAGCTGCGAATCAACGTCATTCATTCGACAAAAACAAGATCCTGAACAACGAATGATGATGAGAACAGATAGGCACACGATCGAATATATATCTCTGTGGTGATATCGCTTACAAAATACTTTGGTCTATCTGATTGTATCATTCAAACACAAACGAATAAGAAATATTCCTTTATTCTATACACACTGTACTCACCCGCATGTAATGACACACATGATTCAATTACACGATGCCTAATGATGTGTGAATGACGAACAAAAAACAGCTCGTCAAATTTTCATTTCTCATTGGTCTAGTTTCTTTTCATAATAGGTAATATTGTACACATGTTTATTTTTTTTAACAAATATTCTACCAAGAAATCTAACACCTATCATAGCAATTTCTACTTAATGATGCAAACTTCTTTCTTGATACGATTTCATGCTTTTGATAGCAAATTTAAAAGTTACTGCTGCACTTTGAGTATAAATATCGTGCAATGGATTTTATTGGATGATTTTTTTTATTAAACGATCTCAATTTGATTACTATGTGGATGTACCAATTCGAGTTTCCAGAAAATTTTGCATAACCATTTTTAAAGCAAATTGCATTTACACATTAGTGTCCTCTATATCTTTTTTTCTATTACTGGTCCTCACCCTCACATTCTTAAGCTATTAAATGAGAAAAAAGGAAACGTCTTCCAATCTGTCTGTAAAATATAACATCTATTTATTTCTCACATGTGTTGTTTAATGATGTATACGCCCACTTCATCTAAATAAATAATTTTGTTATGTAACACAAACCAGTCAATCCATTTCTCCTATGCTCACCTGTACTTTTGACAGTTGCAAAAATTAGTATGTTTCTGCTGACGTCAATCAATATGATTCATACATGTTATCGTTGTCATGCTTTATTAGTTTGTATTTTTTCTATTTCGTAGCAATGACAACCAAAGAAGCGCAGCTACCAATCGTTTCTTATGTACAATGATATTCAATCTGTCTACTCTTCTTTTTAGATTTGTTACTTCTTTGTTTCGCTTCGCATCATGGCATTAAATAAACATTCCAGAAGTCGTAAAAAGAACGAATTATACGAGATTGGTCCTGGTTTTTGGAACATTCGTGGTCATTTTAAAATGTTCGCTAAAATGGCTGATATCGGAACACAAATGTCCATCGTTCAATTGAGCGACGGAAATTTCGTTGTTTTTGACACAGTCGAACTCAATGATCATCTTAGAAGACAAATAGATCGACTGACAAACAATGGAGATTTGATCGAGGGCGTGGTTGGCCTACATCCATTTCATACTCGATCATTTTTGGCATTTTATCAAGCATATCCACAAGCAGCTTACTATGGAACGCCGAGACACTTACGTATACTGCCAGAAATTCCATGGTTAGGCAGTCTTGATGATTGTAATGTGAGACAAAAATGGGAACCAGATGTAGAAATGCGCATTTCAGCGGGTGAATGAAAGGATACTTTGACTATGTTTGAGAGATATTTTAATATGCGGTAGAGTTTTAAAATATTTTTCCATATCTTGACAAAAATTTCATCATTTTTTTTCTCTGAACAGAATGTTCTTTTTATTAATTAGTTTCAAAAAAAAGTCATAAAAGCTTAGGAATTCACATTCTCATAAAACAGACCTTTTAGCTATTGACAGTACTAATGATTAAAAGCGCTAGTGCAAAAAAAGTTCAGAATAGATTAGCTGCTTTAAACTTATTGGTGATCTGAACATGTGAAACAGTTATCTATTCCTATTTTAGGTGGTGAATTTATCAATCCACAAGAATCATCCAATCACTTAATGAGTGCATTCATCTACCATCGATTATCTCGTACACTTCATGTGGATGATACTATCAATTATACCGACAAGTTTGGTTTCCTTCTCAAATTATTTGGATTCCCGCACGGTGTAATAGCCTTTCATATATCGCTCACAGGTCCCGGTCTGCATCCAACAGCCGAAGCTCCTTACTTATTTCGAGATTGGATGCGCAACATGTTGAACGATTGGCCATTTGACAATATATGCTGTGCCCACTTAGATGTGAAAATAGGTGGTGCACATGCACAGGTAGCCGAACTTTTGAGGAAGACAGAACCATTGTTGGCCAAATTAAGCAAGAAGAATAAGAAGAAAAACCCAATGGGAGAATTGCCAGTTGGTAATAATTTTAATATAGACATCACTGGAAATGACTGTGGATGATTTTATCATGAAACAACAGAATCAAATCTATTTTTTGAAAATGTATTCATGTAAATTTTGTGTTTTCTTTTGAAATATCTCTGAAGAACTTTCATTATGATCGAATATAGGTTACAGTGAGTGTGAAAAGCAAAATTCTGTATCATGGGTATGTATGTCAAGACCAGCAAGGAGAAAGCCGCAATACTGAGATGTTCGTCACTGTCTGTGAAAGGGCTGTGAATGGGTCTAAATTTTTAACTTTATACATCAACATTCCTTTTAGATCGTCTCTCACAAAATAGAGGAAGAATGAAATCAAAGGCATGCTTTATGCTAGTGGTTAGACATATTATTCTTCTATTCTGTTTGTTTCGCAATGCATCGAATATGTAACTAATCTTTTTTGTATCATTTTTACATTGAAGCACGTAAATTTATTTTTACGTGCAAGTAGAAATTGGATAACTGCCGTGAAAATCATATCTTCTATATGAGTTTTTATTTTATTGAAGACAATGTGTGAGCTTCCGATAACCTATCTGATATCATCATCAGATACATGATGACACGCGAAACGTAGTTTACATGACTCGTGAAAAAAAAATAGATATATAGGTTCTGTGTGACATCTGTTCGAAATAATTGTACATCTGTTCTTTCGAACAGATGTCACATGGAATCTATATATCTATTAGTTATGGGTGTGCGTGCGGCTGTGATATGTATGTTATCGTTCTTATTATCACAAAATAAGCATCGTGATGGAATGAGAACAAAACGGAGCAAAAGATAATCCGCTTTCGCCAGGAATCGCGCCATGCATGTTCTGCTTACCGGGTAGCTGTACTGCCGCTATACTAGAAAGCGTATCTCCTCTCTGTCTTACGACCGGATGGGAACAATCAGATCGTAACACTGTAGCTTCAATTATTTCACACCCACACTCTATCTGTTTCTAAAGTTTTTCTCCCTTTTAACAACTATCGATGGATATAAAGTTTCAAAGAACTACACATTCCATACTAGTTTCCAATTCTAATGAAATATTTATCAGACATAGAAATTCTGCGTTGACTGTAGATGTACCCTGCATCTCTCAATAGGTTTACTTTGACATATCTTTTGCCTTTACAAAGGATACTCTATAATCATACAAAATGAGGTCAATTATGTAATAAATTACAATGATGACGAACCGTTACGCTTTATTTTGATAATATAAATTGATATTGAAGTGACTTGATAAAGTATGTATGGGATATTTTGATGAATGTTAACTTAATAGAAATATTTTAATGAATTTCCTCATAGAAACAGCTATTATCATAAGTAAAACTTTCTTGGTATGCAAAGAAAATACCATTACGATCAATCTTTTTAAAAAAGTAACATGCACAAACTCAAAAAAAATTCTGGACCGGTCCGAACCGGCCGTTTATCGTTACGGGTTGCAATTCTGCCATGTCAAACGTATTTCTCACATGAAAGTTCAGGTTGAGATAACTATGACAATTGTCCTTTACCTTTCTTTATACCCACTGTATTATATGATGATTAATATCTTTCATTATCGACATATACTAACAGTGGTTCAGAATTCATGAATCGAAGCGTATAATAATTGATTATCTTTATTACAATACTCATAAATATATTGTAATTCATATTTTAATCCGCAAAGGAATTGCACTAACAGCTTTTATAACTAATTATATTTTTCAAGATATTTGGTTTTTTTGATTTGTATAAGATCATGCGTTCAATGCAATGTTAGCTGATATTGACTCATTGCTATATTCCTATAACTATAATTATAATTAGATATGTTTAGTGAATTCATCATCATCTTGATGATTTTTTGAAATTAATGAAAATTGTTGTATATCTTCAGCTAGATAACATATTTCCCGTTCAATATTTTCAGTTTGAATATTTGACAATGAATTTTTTTCTCGTGAATCAATATTGTTTTGTAAGCAATTTACATTTGGTATAATTATTTTGTGTCATTGATATATTTGCTTCAGTTGATTAAAGTTTTTCTTGTTCATGTAAATATTTATCTATAATGACATCAGTGTGTAGATACGGATAAAGAGAAAACAACACCCACACCCCATCATTATAGTTTTTTATGGCATTTTCTAGATAGCATTTTATATCACCCGAGCAATGACGAAACTATCTCAATTGAGACAATGCTTTCGTCTCTCTCTCTCTCTCTCTTTTAGGCATAAATAACAAGCTCACATAGTTATAGTATCAACTCTGGCATATCCAATAGACTGTGAGATTCGATAAACGCTTCATTTGATTGAGTATACGTTTTATCTGAACCACAAGAACGAAGAATCAGCTATGTGGAAAAAAACATGCTTTAACAGACTGTTTGTTTTCAAATTCTCTGTACATAAAACAAAAGATAGGCTTCAGACGAAATAATGTCATTCAGTTGTGCAAGATTCACGTGCGACTCATTGAAACAATAACTGAATGCGGAGATTACATTTCCGCACCCATTTTTACATATTTCCTTTAGTAGTATTGATTATGATTGAATCTCATTACGAATCCGAATGACATTTTTGGTATTGTCAATATTAATGAGTTTTATTTTATTTTTGGCTAGAACTTGTCACAATAAGTTGATCTCGATCAATTATATTATTCATGAATTTCATGCTCATCAGTATCGTGTACTTTTATACTGGCGAACAGTCATCAACTTCCAGACATATACATTGATGGTGGTCTTGTCTATGATAGACCAGATGTTCATGACGAGCGTTGCAAATGCCATTTATACTTGGGCATTAAATTCGGTGATAAAATTTATTATGGAAGTTTTACGTTTTTTTTTTTAAAAAGAAAATTAGAAAATGTTACAGCACCTGAGATACTTTATTTTTATCATATTGTATTTGCCAGTGTTATTATTTTTTTCTCTTTTGTATACATGGATCTTTTTATAACATACATTTATTTTTTAAATAAACTGTTAAGCGATTAAAGTATATTTTTAAAATAGGCACAATCAAAAAAGCTAATCATCACAACAGTGTTGAGCTGACTTTTTTAGCAAATAATTAATTCGACTATTATGTTTTCGAATGCAAGTTCAGTTAAAGTCACCTTATATCAGACACATTGTATTCTTTTTCCAATATTAAACATTCGACTTGATTTACTATAATTATAAAACTATTACAATCGATTCATGAATACAGCGACTAGCTTTACTCGAACTTTCATCTATCTTGTCTTATTTGTAATTATTTGTTCTTATGAAACTAAGTATAAGAAAATGAAGTCTATTTTCAATAATCTCTGTAAGTAAAAATCATACCTGAAATGTTATTGAAACAACGTGTGCTGATCATTTTAATAATTAATATTTAACCAATAGATAAGTTACATCTAGTCACCTTCCTGAATTTCTCAGTCATGTATGTATTATATTTGACAAATAATTTTTCTTATAACAGAACGAATAGTTAGAAAAGTGCATGGCCGATATATTTATTCTAGAGCCCTGCAGTTCCAAAAAAAATGGAACCGAGAACCAAACCGAGAACAGGATTTTTCTGTTTCTCTTATCCGAAACCGGAGCCGGAACCGAAACCATGAAATAAAAGAGGATGGAACCGGAACCGTTAGGAACCGATATTTTTCTTGAGGGTGAGAGTTTCAAGATGTGTAGATGTTGCAAGGTGCACATTATATCAGCACCATTCTTCATTTATCCATGAAAAATTTTCGTAGTAATCCTGGTTTTCAAGAAAAAAGCTCTTAAGTTAGTTAAAACGGAAATTAATAAACAGCAACCAACAATACTATTCACTACATGTACAACTACTACTCCACCACCTGTTAGTACAAATTCACTTGACTCTCAATAGACAACACCAAAAGGTCCTCTTTCATACTGTTTTGATATACCACAAAATTCCTTAACATTGTCAACAACACCGTACGAATTAGATAAATATATGTCATCAAATGTTCCATTCAGTGGACATGATGATGTTTTATAATTCCGCGACAACAGAATTTAAAATTACCGATCTTATTTTCTATAGCTCAAGATTTTTATCCTTACAAACATCGAACACCATTGTAGAAGGACTTATCTCGTCTGCAAAAAATACAAGTATCGATAAACGCATCGATCTTGGTACAGAAAAAAAAATACTCTATTGTTATTTTTTTCAGAAAAATTTAACATTATTAAAATCATGTGATGTAAAAAATTGATGAAGTTGATACAACTGAAACGAAAAGAAAGATGGTTGAACAGTCATCTTCTACAGTGTCCTGCCTAAACTAAATAATAATCTATTACTACAACAACAAAAAGACGTTTAGAATGAGTAACGAAGATGATATTGTTCTTTGTGATCATGACCATGGAGAGGATAAGAAAATGATGAAGTAGCTCTTTTTTAGAACTTGTAATATAAATATTTCATATGAACATATTGTATGTCAGTGTTTCAACTCATTCTTTGACTTTTTCTTTTACCTTTTGAAGCAGCTACTTATTTGATGAAGTAATAAACACGAAGAGTCCCGAAGATAAAATGTAGAAATTTCTAAAAAAACTCAATTACTCGGCATTTTGTATGTTACGGTAAAATCATCGGTTCCTAGAAAAAATTTTAGAAACCGAAAAAGGAACCGCTTTTTTTCGATTTTGCTAACCGGAACCGCAGGGCTCTATACTTCTGCCATGATGATGTGCTAGTTTGGTTGAACGTACACTATAGATAACGATCTCATCCACAATTTTGTTTTGATATCCATGTATAATGGAGATATGGATGTAATGGTGTCGTTATTGTTTCGAGTATGGGTAAGTTGTCGAAGAGAAAGAACTGAATATAGAAGAAGAATTCCGATTCTCCGACTCCGATTATCTTTGGTCCAACTTTAGGAACAATCATTTTTTTCGTAAAAAAGCCTTTCTCTGATCAAAAAAACTCAATCTCAAAGTTACCAAAAACCGATTACAGATTTGGATTCTCGGATTCCGATTACTTTTGGTCAAACTTCATAAAAAATATCCCTATCGTCTTAATATGGGTGCATATGACTCAACACGTGCTTGCGAACATGCAAACTCATTGTATTTCATATGCCGCTCTCTTCAATCGAGGGAATAAGTCAATTGATTGATTTCTTTTTTTTTTCATTCAAAAAGACGTTCGCATTGAAAATATTAAAGAAATTGAAATGAATATGAAATAATAAATTTTTCTCTATTCAAAAAAAGTTTTAAATTATCTACCTTAAAATAAACGAAGCCAAATATGTGCATTTTTGTTTTTTCGATCGGGTAGAACATAGATTTTTTTAAAATAAAATACGAATCCTTATGACTACAAAGGAAATAGCATATAGTGGAAAAGCATTTGTTTAGTTTGTGCGTAGATGATGTTATTTTCAGGCGATGCAACAAAGCGTTCAGCGAAAGTCCAGAAAGTTCGTCATTATTATTCTCATACGATGAAAAGAAAACGACGATCAAGCAATATTGTTCATATGACCATTCGACTTTCAAACAATCAAATATTGACAAAGAAAAATTCAGGCAATCGTCATGATAATTTGTCTTCCGTTAGTCATTTTTGTTTCTATTACAACACAGATTCAGTTCGTTATATCCGAATTTGAATCACTGAAAAATTTCATCAATGATCTCATTCAATTTCTTTCTCATTGCAGTCAAATAGATATTTTAGTCATTCGACTTCGAACTTTCAACAAAAGAACGATTCTTTCAAAACCAATACTAACGATAGTCAATCTGTACAGAGCAACATTTTAAAAACTGGATTACGTATATCATCATTATCCAGAGTAACTTCTCTTAAAGTACTAGTAAATTCCTTATGAGACAAAATCAATACAATATATTTTTATCTTTCTAATAAATTAATTGCGACAATCACTTTCGTATTCAAGTAAGATAAGCACTTCGTTATTGGTTTTACAATATGTCGTTCTTTAAATGAGAGTAGTACATGGAGACCGAGTCAGATCAACGAGGTACTACAGAAAATTATCACAAAGATCCAAAGAAAAAAAAGAAATGTAGCAGGCAAGTATTTTTTCTTGTCTTTTATGTGTTTCATGATGATTATATATTGAAGATGAGAAGCAGCGTGGTTGATCTTTGGTTGTGTATTACCTTATTTGATGCTTGCCATTGCTGCTGCCATAGCACTTCTTATTCTTCGCATCCAATCAACAACCTAAACGACACAAGGTAAGTAACAGCATATTATTTGTTTATTTACATAATTGTTTATATAATTCCAAATCTTTTCATAGATGAATTGATTTTTCTCTCACGAGGAAACATTCCCAAGTGATACCCGCCGTTTCAGCTCATATTGTACCCAAAAGTAGATCTCTGTAAGACTAGAGAAAGTCTAAAAAGGGTTCGTGCCATTGCGCCTTTGGAGCCGAGTTATGCCTAATTTATTGAATGATCGACCCTTTTTCGGGTACTGATCGAAAAATCAAATTACGAAGTTTCCATCTGAAATTTCTAACATAGATAGATATAGTTACACCTAGAATATCCTGGAAGTTTCAACCGAATAGAATGTTCCTTTGTCGAGTTATTGCATTTTCAATTAAACTCGACTTTTGTGAAATATCTGTCGCAAATGACTATTTTTTGGAGATCCAATATCTCCACATAGGAACATTCTATTCGGGTGAAACTTTCAGGATATTCTAGGTGTCACTATATCTATCTATGTTAGAAATTTCAGATGGAAACTTCGTAATTGGATTTTTCGATCAGTACCCTAAAAAGGGCCGAAAATTCTGTAAATTAGGCATAACTCGGCTCCAAGGGCGCACTGGCACGAACCATTTTAGACTTTCTTTAGTCTTACCGAGATTTACTTTTGGGTACAATATGAGCTGAAACGGCGGGTATCACTTGGGAATGTTCCCTCGTCAGTTAGAAATGCTTCACAATATGATGTTGCGATGCAAAAATTGATACTTGTATTATTATCTAATAGAAAACGTCACCTTTTACTGAAATAAGTTTAAATGAAACATGCATTTAGCCTTGACGACTAAATTAATTTGAGAAGATTTGAAACTACGATGTTGAGAATTCTTTACTTATTCCTATAGTTTTCACAGTATGAAGAAAACTTATGTAGTTGTATGATCACTTGCATGAATGAAGCTAACATAAATTTTCAGCTAGAATTTAATCTACAAGCGAAGACATTTGGATTTCATCTAAGAATTTGATTGAAAGTCCTATTTTTCAAATAACATTCAAATATTTATCTCTAATGTTCTGTCTTGGTACTGCATCTACAACGTCAGGTACAGCTACGACTTCAGCTACGATCTCAGGTGCGACCTCAACGACAGCTACAGCTTCATCGAGCAATCCATGTGCGTATAGATACAACGATTATTTTTATTCAATATTGAATATTCTCAGCTTTTGTTCTTTGATTTTAGGTTTTAATGGAACATATTGGAATGCTATCGGTGTTACATACGCAGGGAATGACATACGTGGCACTGCTTTAAATCAATTATCTGCGCCAACTTGCATATTTATTGGGCTTTTACTAAATCAAGTGAATTATCCATACGGTATATGGGTAGATTCGAGCTTAAATGTATTTGTGTCAGAATATCGAAATCAGTGTGTGACAATATGGGCTCCTGGTGCATCATCAAATGTTGTCGTTGCTGGTATTTCAGGTTCATCAGGTACTTAGAAAGGCAGAGAGCCTATCTATCGTCCTATGTGAATGATTATAATTGTAATAAAGAAATTATAAAGCGTTCAAAGTTCTCTAATAGTTATTTTCAACCGAAAATCCTATTAATTCCTTCATAGGTTGATAATAAGATCTCACTAGTATGTGCGATTTAACGTTTTTGAAAAGCAGAACAACATTCATTCAGAAGAGTGATTCATTTCATTTGTCCTCAAAACGAACTATTTTGTATCTTGGTGAAACGTCTTCGACGACAAAAGAACGTATTTCGTCATATCACTCCTAATAATTATTTGCATATTTTTTATCGTCTGGATTGTTTCATCCCTTTCCGTCAGTTTGCATCGAACGATAGAATTTATGAATGTCCAATTTGACAGAGTCAGGTGTACAATAACAATTTTCCTTTTCTTTTTCATCATTAGGCTCGACAACAAATTTATTGTCAGGACCTGCTGGCCTCTATTATGATGAGGCTAATCAAAACTTATATATTAGCAATACGGGTGTCAGTGATAATGTGATGAAATGGTAAGTAGGCGCTTCAAGTGGTACGATCGTGGCTGGTCTTGTTGCAAGTTCCGGATCAAGTTCAAGTCAATTACAAACTCCAGCAGGAATAATATTAGATCAATGGCAAAACATATATGTGAATGATCGTGATAATTCTCGAATTCAACTTTTCTGCAATGGTAGTTCGATAGGTATCACTATTGCTGAAAGTGGAACTGGTGGAAGTAGTTTATCCACTCCATATGATATCAAATTAGATTCACAAAATAATTTATATGTTATTGAAAATGGTGCTCATCATGTTACGAAATTTGCTAAACTATAAGAAATATCAACCGATGTAATTCTTCTCCATTCAACAACGTTTTAACAATCATTCTATCTTCTCTTTTTACTCAGTTATAAAGCCACCACATTATTTAATGTACTGAGGGTGGGTGTGTGGGCGTGGGCGTTGGTGTGAGTGCGGATGGGTGGGGTGTGAGTGTGGATGTGGATCTGTGTGAGCGATGTGGATCTTCATCGTATTAATTCACACCAACATCTAAACACCCATACATTAATGCAGACGCTAACGTTGTAATAGAAAACAATGCACAAAATTATAATTTATTCCAAGAACAAGGAAATTATTAGGATACAAAGACTCCAGTAACAAATCTTCAATTCAATAGCTCCATAGGCAGCGCTATTTGAAGAAGGCGTGGAACACACAGATAAAAATTTATCAAGAAAGAATTTTTTCTGTGAAAAATTATGAGGGCACAAGCTGATTTATAGACTCTCTTCTCTTAAATTTCTTCAGCAAACAAAGTGTGATTATTAAAGTCTTATTTGAAAAATCTAATATCTGGCAAAAACTGTCTTTCTATAATAGAATTTGTATCAAATTATAGAACGTAGCGTGTATTCTAAAAAGTAACTATTTTAGAACACAGAATAATGGGATTTCAACTAATTAAGATTGATCAGAACTGCCAGGTGGCCATAAACTCAGGCTGAATTTTGAAATTTTCGTTGGTCTGATCCATCCATATAATATTCGGCCTGGATAACACATCAAGCATACCAAAATTGTTGGCTTTGTGTCATAAAATATTAATTTCTCTAGTAGTAAAAGCATAAAACGACGTCTCAAGCTGATGATTTGTGTACCAATTTTCGTCAATCATGATCTTAATTCAGGAAATATTTTTATAATGAATAATGATAATCAACATCCAATTAGATTTATTGATTCTGCAATTATGAAATTTATTCGTAAACCAACAGAATTAAATATAATGTATTCAGAAAATTTATATCAATCTCTTCGAAGTATTTCTATTAATTGTCCTTCGTGTTAATCTATTCAAGTTCCAATATTTGCTCAACAATTTCGACATCAATCATAACTTAATCTATTGATCAAATTATTAATCATCCTTGGTTTTATACCAATTGATTTATTTTTATTAAAAATTCTCATTTCATTTTTTAATAGACACAGTTTTCTTTATAGAGATAGAATTAGGGGATATTTTAGTTTAATAAAAGGTATATTGCACTCAACATGAAGAAGTAGAGATTATGGTCGTGCTTGTCCACAATTTTTTGCTGAACAACATGAACTTACACCAGGATTTTGTCTGACAACACAAGCCATTACATCTAAATTGCATTGTCGACAATTTCCCCCTAAAACACCAACAAATGAAACTGTAATGAATGAAATTTCACTTACACAAATAAACCCAACTGATAGCACTGCAGCCATGTCGTTTATAACAAGCATCATGAGTGTCACAACACTTGCCTTTATTTCCACAACTTTTAACAACAGCATCACATCCATAATTGTCTCGTATTAAATCAATTGGATCAATTTCATCTTGATTTTCTCGTCGAAAAGTAACTGAACAATGAATAATAGCGATGAATACGCTAAGAAGAATAAATGTCAATCGAACACAATTCATTATTATTGTTTAATATATCCTCTAGAAAATGACAACTTTTATTCAAAAATATTTTTATTAACCCTTGAAGAGCGAAGCCCGTATATGTACGGTTTGAAAATTCCAGTAGAAATGGAAATCTCTGGCTTTGTTCAAGTAGATTCTTTGAGTGTTTTATTCATTTTCCTATCTCAAAATCCTCTATTTGTGTCTTTGCAACAAGAATCAGTATAACAATTATGATAGTTAATACGTTTCAAGTTAGAATTGCTTCTGGCACTACGATTTTATTCTTTTTATAAAGAAAAAGTCCGCCTTCAAATGGTTAATTCAACTTACTTTATTCAATAAAATTGATTCTATTATGAAGTGCAAATGATCAAAGTGTCAATGCACCTTATCTTTTATAAGAATAAAAACTATCGAACAAACAGATGTTCTTGCTTCTCACAATATTTCATGTTGATATTTTATTTTGCTTTTAATCAACAAAGCAAAAACACACCCACGGATTTGTTGTCTCTATGTATGTCAATATTATTCGTTCGTTCTTGAAATTATTTCATATTGCATAGACCTCATAAAAAAATATTTCATTATTTTTATCATTGAAGTCTTCTAAAAACTAATTTCACCATTGATGTAACAGCAAGGTCTTTTTTCTTAATATAATAAATGGTTCATAAGGAGAAAAATCTCATAAAAATTAAAGTAACATAAATATGAGAAAGATGATTAAGGGGGCTTATTCCCTCCCCCTCGACCGCCATTTTTTTTCAACCATTTTGTAGAGAATTTAAAACTGCATATACCCTCAAATTTTTACTGAAGACGAACGGACTTTGATGGAGCTGGGATCCTCACAAGCCATATAGTCTTTATAGACCCCCCTAGGGTATGCATTTTTGAAAAATTTTCAAACTCAATATTTTGACTTAATTTTTATATGGTTTTATAGAGCATTCAAAGTTGTATATGCTCTAAAATTTTCATAAAGATTGGATGAGTATTCTTTGAGAATTACTGATTTTTCTATTAAGTGCATTTTTTCCTGTCCAATAGTATTTTTTTTAAACCTTGCTCGCGATATCAAGCCTATAGTGCGTTGCAAGAAAAATCCGTTTCGGCAGAAAGATGCGCCATCAAATTCTGGGTGTAGTATGTGAGACAGATTTTTCTTTCGCAAACACATCGAAAGAAACGCATCCTCAGTGAAATGTGTGTGAAAATGAAAACGCATAGTTTTAACCTAATGTTTTTTATGACGTATTTTGCGTTTTCAGAAAAAGTAAATAATTATGTGTTACATATCGTTTGACAGAAAATTTCATAAGCAATAAAATCATATATAAACTTACGAGAAAATACTATGGCATGATGACGTTGAACAGACATATATTTGCTTGTACTAAGATGTACTGTAATAGATTATTAAATATTTTTACAAAAAACTTTTCAAAAACTCTATTTTTAGTTTTACAGTTTTATAAATAGCTTTCGGGAGAAGCTAATATTTTTTATGATTTTTCAATAATCAAATTTCGAAATATGGGAAAAAATTCAAAACCGTTGGATGCATGGAAATAAATATACTTAGGGTATACCAAAAGTTCGAATTAAAATGTTTAAAATATAATAAAACAGTAAATATTGAACGTTGTATTATGGAAATATATAGTGTAACGTCTCATCTTTAATAATCTGTAGAGCAGCTCTATTTTGGATTTAATTCTAACATCTTGCTAGATAAAATTTATAGTACTTATGGCCAAGAAAAGATCCTGACAACATAAAACCAGAATACGAAAAGAAAGAGATATTCGTAGTTTTATTTTATTAAATGTTCAAAATAATCACCATTATTTTCTATACAAAGTTTCATCCTTTCTAACAGTTTATCGGAAGTCTTTTTAAACTCGCTTATTAGAATATTCTTCACTATGGTAGAAATCTTCTGAGCCAGCGATTCTTCGTTTGTGTGATCAGCTAAATTCATCTTGATATAATCATTTAGCCAAAAGTCACACGATGCAAGATCTGGTGAATGTGATGGATGTGGGATTATTTCGATATCTTCCTCTGTTAAATAATTAACAACATCTCGATGAGTATGAGGACGACCACATTATCATGAAGCAGTTTATATTTTCTGCGTGATGATTTTCCTTTCTTTCTTATTTCATTGATAACTGGTATGAGACAATTTTCAATATAGTAGTTGTGATCAATAGTCTTGCCTTTATCTACTTTATGTATAAGAACAGGACCAGTGATTTTAAAGAATAAGCAAAACAGTGTTCTAGGTTCAGATCTATTCCGACGAACAACGGTCCTTAGTATTTCATTTTCACCAACTCAGGTAGAATTGCTTGACTTCTGACCAATCTGTCTGTGATAAATCCATGTCTCATCATCAGTAATAATATCACATAACCGCCATGTTCCGTTTCTGAATTTCTCTAAATTTTGACGACAAATTCTAAATCGTTCTTGTTTTTGTTCGTCAGTGAGTTGATGAGCAACCCAACTTGATGTAACTTTTCTCATTTTTAGACAATCATGAATAATTCGTTCTATTGTACCACGAGATAGACCAGTCTCAACCGTAACATCATCATAAGTTGAGTTTGGGTCATCTTCGATAACTTGTCGAACACGCTCAATATTTTCATCTGTAAGTACCAAAATCGAACGACCATATCGAGGATCATCACTGACATCCTCTCTTCCTTCACGAAAACGTTTCGCCCATTTTCAGACCATTGAATATGATGGAGCATCAGGACCCAATGCTTCTGTAAGTTCGTCGAAGATTGTTTTTGAATCTATTCCCAAAATAGTTCGAATTCTGATATAGTATCGATTAAATTCATCAGTCACGTTTAATAGATCGTTTTAAAGTTGAAATCAGATTCTATCACGATTTGAGGTCGGGAGCGGTACAAATGAGCTGACAGTGAATGACCTCTTATCTATATATAGTATCGAAATGTAATATTCTAGAACATGACGTCATAAAATGTGATGAGAAAGTGACCAATGGAAAGTTCCACAATATACTTGGACATTGGACAAGGATTAGTTAAATATTAGCATAGACGCTAAATTATAGACTTAATCTAGCAGGATGTTAGAAGTAAATCCAAGATAGAGCTGCTCTATAGATTATTAAAGATGAGACGTTATACTATATACTCCCATAATAAAACATTCAATATTTACTGTTTTATAAAATTTTAAACATCATGATTCGAACTTTTGGTACACCCTAAGTATTTGATAATAAATACTTTCGGTTTCTTTAAGAATTATTTCTACCGAGATCATTCAAAAAGCTTCACTGTAGTAGACTTCTTGTTTGGTTTTAAAGAAGGAACAAGCAGAAAAC